CAGCGGTGTTCTGTGTTTATATGTTGTTAATAAAAAGATCTAAAAAAAAAAAAAAAACAGGGAGCGCTGGCTCTACAGTCCACACATCAGACCAGCCCACCAGGAAATCTCCAGACCCTCCCGCAGCCACGCTGGACCTGAGTTTAATTCGCTCGTGACAAATTCCTTCATTTCTCACCATTTCAGTCATGGCATCAACGGAGGAGGAAGAGATCACTGCCTCTTGGCAAAAAACAAAAGAAAAGGCCAGATCAGAGATGAAGAAGAGGAATTTAATACATTGGTGTCGCAACAAAACAGTCCGTCGCTGGGCAGTTTATTGTGCGACACCGCGTATGCAGTCGTAAAAATTTGAGCTTTGCACGGACATATCCTAGGGGGTACTCTCGTACCTCCGCATACGTACGTGCGTACCTCTGCGTATGGACGTATGTGGGAGTGTACTGGGGGCTTAACCCTGATGTCTTCATTTTCAACTTCAGTAACGTGTTTCTCTCCATCAACTCAAGAAAGTTTAAATCACATAACTTGACTTACATAATGTCCAGATAGCTTCGTTACATCTCCCACCACTAACAGAAATTTTCTTCTTCTTTCAGCTTTTCCCTCTTCAGGGGTGGCCACAGCGAGTCCTCCTCCTCCACATCACTCTGTCCTCTGCATCCTCTGTCCTCACTCCAACTACCTCCATGTCCTCTTTAACTGCATCCATACGTCTCCTCTTTGTCTTTTTCCTGGCAGCTGCATTTCTAACATCCTTCTACCAATATACGTACTGAACCTCCTCTGGACATGTCCAAACCATCTCAGTGTGTCCTCTCTTAACTTTATCTCCCACTTGTTCTACCTGTGCTGTACCTCTGATCTCATTCCTGATCTTCTCCATCCTTGTCTCTCTTAAGAAGAACCTCAACATTTTCATTTCTGACACTTCCAGTTCTGTCTCCTGTCTTCTTGTCCATGTCTCTGTCTCCAGACCATACAACATAGCTGGTCTCACCACTGTCTTGTAAACTTTTCCTTTGACCTTTGCTGACACCTTTTTGTCTCAAATCACTCCTGAAACTTTTCTCCATCACTCCATCCTGCCTGGACTCTCTTCTTCACCTCTTCACCACACTCCCCATGTTCCTGGACAGTGGACCCCAAGTCCTTGAAGTCCTGCACCTTTGTGACCTCTGCTCCTTGTAGCCTCACTGTTCCACCTCCTCCCTCTCATTCACACATGGACTCTGTCTTACTACGGCTGACTTTCATTCCTCTTCTTTCAAGTGCATACCTCCACCTCTCCAAGTTCTCTTCCACCTGTTCCTTGTTCTCACCACAGATCACGTCATCTGCAAACATCATCGTCCATGGGGATTCTTGCCTGACCTCATCCGTTAGTCGGTCCATCACCACTAACAGAAATACTGTTTATTATTGTTACTGTTGTTATTTAGCACATTTAGTATATTATACTCCAGTGCCACACGTGAAATATACGCCTGTAGTGCACATGTGCGACCACACTTCTCAGTGCTTTCCACAGCTCCACAGGGGTTTCCCTAAAAATCTCCACTCTGAGGACCTATTTACACGGACACGATGGGGGCAAACGTAGGTTTTTTCGTATGTTAATTAGAGGAAAAGATCTGCGTCGATATGGTCAGATTTTGTGTTGACATGCATCCGGAGGAATCCCCCCCCCGCCCTCCCGAATCCGCTGTAGTTACCATGCCGGGTCATTAGATGGTGCTGTGAATTTTGTACCTTCACCTAATGCGCATGCGTGCTGCCTCAGCACGCTCCTTTCCTCTGGGCTAAAAGTTCAGCTAACAACAACAAGTTAAAGTTGGATTTTGGATAAGAGTCGGCAGATTTGACACCAAGCGGGACCGCTTCGTCTAACAGCTCCACACCGGTCGCTGAGTGGACCGGAACAGAGTCGACGATGTCGGACTTTACTCCGTGATAATCAGCAGCTGATTGACAGCAGGTAAATCAAATGTTCTTAATAATGTTAGCTT